TGTATCTGTAGTTTTAAGTAGTATAATACATGGTGAGTAGTATTGATATCAGAAGTAGCCTGTTAAGTAAGAAGGGAATGACACTCGGTTGACCTTCTAGCTGGTTTCAACGCAGAACTTTGCACACATGTGCACCAATTCCAGTTCCCACACTCTATGTACCACACAAAGCAAAAGAAGAGAGTAGAGAGAGCTTAAAAAGAAAGATAATTAACACAAGTGTGTGTGAGGCAAAAAGAATAGTAATATGGAAGAGTAAATGTGCTATCATTCACAACGATTTTGAGCCATATCACCAATTATCTCTAGCCACCATTGGTTCTTACCATAACGAGGACCCCAACCATTCAGAACAGTCCATTCTCGTATACTGTTATGGATTTCATTGACTGATGAAGCCATGTTTTTGTTTGACCACCACTAGCTCTCTCATTGTCAATCAATCCTATGTGAGTCAGCTAACATTGACAGTCGAGAAAGGTGATATCTAGGCATGTGTAACACATATATCCTAGGCATCTCAGTCGGTGTAACTTCACAACCTCATCGATAGGTTTTCCTTCTTTATCTAAGACTCAACACCAAGCCTTAATATTACTTATCACTGTGTTATGCTACCTAACATAGGGGATAGAATGGAGATACCTATGACCAAAGACAGCTAACCATCCTTTTCATGTTCTTCACTTTCAATGGCCATGTCTCACAGATAGCTATAAAGAAGGACAGAGAGTATCGCTGAACAGTATACATGTCCTTTGGTCAATAGCCAGCCGGATATCAAGTCTACTGAACCAGAGATGGAGCAAGCTGGCTGAAATGTCTAAGACATACGTCACGTATGACATACCACCGTTTCCCTTGTTCCGCAATGTTAATCGATATTAGATAAAGTAGGAAAATAGTTGAAGGCAGTTAAACAGTAACCTGGAATCAACCGACAGAGTCTGTCACAGACAATTCAAGCCACGTAACAAGTGAAAACCGCCTATTAGATAGTTGGAGGCAATCGACCATAGGAAGCCTTGGACCTAGGTTTTGTGCTAGTTGACAGAATTATCTGCAACGTTGAAGGAACTCATGTCTCTTCTGAAATTCGAACCCAAATCACCCAGTGAATGCTGTAGTCAGAGACGTTACCACTGAGCTATTCGGGGTCGCGATTGACTACCTGTAGGGCTGTAGTGGATAGTTTGATTGGACACTAGTAACTAGTGTGATATGTTTAGTCCTTTCCTTGGTGCTTAGTGGTAACGTCTCTGACTGCAGCACTGGGTGACGCGGGTTCGAATCTCAGAAGGGACATGAGTTCCTTCAAGGTTGCAGATACACCTTGCTGACTGACTGGTGAGTGCCATCTAGCACGAAACCTAGGTCCAAGGCTTCCTGTGGCCGATTGCCTCCAACCATCTAATATCATCGAATCAATGTACACCGTGATGGTGAGCTACCTAGAATGGTGGCCACATTGCAAACCTGACTGATAGAATTCAGTCTGCACCAAAGAAAGGACTAGACACATCACACTAGTTACTAGTGTCCAATCAAAGAAAACTGCCTAGTTGGGATCTTAGAGATGCTAAGAACCAGGAGTTGGAGGACTGTCA